TTTTTTTAGGATTACTGATAAACTAATGTAGTTTGATTTGTATTAGTTATCTATTTTAGTTTTAGTTACAGTTGTAGTAATGTTGTCATTTTATTAGTTTTTTACTATGTCTATATAGGTTTTTTTATTAAGTTTTAGTTTTATTTAATTTGAGTTATTTCAGTACTTCAACATACAAAATGGAAATGAAATAATATGTATATATATTGAATGTATTTATATATATGTACATGTATATGTGTGTGGCTGTACATACACATATGTAGTTGTTTTTTGGTGTTTGGCTTAGTGTTATGTTAGAATCATTATTATACTCATACCTTTTGTTCTTTTAATATTTTGAATTGTTTTTAGCTTTATTTTTTTTTGTTTTCATTTAATGTTTAGTTTTGAAATGTTGTTGTATGCATTTGCCATTTTTATTTTCTTAAATGTGTATATATATAGTATTTATAGAGTTTTAGCTTTTAGTTTTAATTACTTTTTCTTATTTGTAAGTCGCTTTGGATAAAAGCGTCTGCTAAATGACTAATAGTAAAGTAAAGTAAAGTAAATATAATAGCTTATCGAAATATTATATTCAGGTTAAATAAAATAAATAAATAAATACTTTGATTCTATAGTTAGATAATATATCAAAGTTACATTTATTCATATTAATACCGCCATATTACTCCGATCAAGTTGTTTCAATCTGTCAACCTTGCAGCCGATGCTTTTAATTACGCAATTTTAACACCGGCTGCAAATAATGAACGGTAATTATCCTCGTCAGACGTCCAAAGTTAAACTTTGGTATGAAGCGCGCGCGATAAGTATAACGTTTGGAAAATAAACGGTGCGGATGTTTTGGAGTGAACCTACAATCGTACGTCCTGCTCGACCGGTTTCTTTGGAGTAAACCTAAATTTAGGCGCTGTGTTCACATCTGATCGCAAGACGCAGGTTGTATGTGCGCTCCATCTGACTGTCAGAGTTTTAATCTTGTCTGAATGAAGTCAATCCCTTCACCGCCTATCCTGTGATCACCTAACAGTCTGGGTTCCAACTGTAAACAATCTCACCCCAAAACACATTTGAACATGCTAATTGGATGCTATTATTGCTTTTCAGGTTAATTATGATAAATGATAATATAATGAAATGGTGACCCCATGTTATACACACAAGCTTTTTGTATAACATAGCATTCAAAAGAAAAAAAAAAAATTATATATATATATATATATAAAAAAAACAAAAAAAACAGACAGACTAAATCCTGAAGAACTGTGGCAACATCTCCAAAATGCTTGAAGAAACCTTCCTGCAAAGCTACAGTACTGTGAAAAGTTTTAGGCACTTGAGCAGAAATGCTGTAAAGTGAGGATGCTTTCAGAAATAATGTCATAAATATATTTTATTTATCAATTATCTTCCGGATTAGTCTCTCATTTTTTTCTGATTCTTCATGCCATTTCAGACAGACTGGATGATGATGAGATCAGATCTCTGTGTGCAGCACAACTGATATTTCCTACTGACACACTACAGCAAGAGATAGAAATAACTGACTTAAAACCATTTTTTATGGGAAAATACTAGTGGCCTAAGACGTATGCACAGTAATGTGTGTGTAAATAATACAATACAATACAAACATACATATAAATATATATACCTTTTATAGGGAGAATCAAGTGCATCATTTGAGACATGGCCATAGCGAAGGACTTGGGACTGCCTATTAAACAGGGAACATTCTTAGAACGTTCTGGCAAGGTTCTCTAAAATACTGTATGAACAAACTTTCTTCCAGTAATACGGAATGTTCATTGTGTCTGAAAATGTACTGTTTACTTACATACATTACACAAACTAATATTAACAATAGCATATGAATACATATTTTAAAATAAAAACAAAGTTTAAAATCAGTATATATATATACATATAGTAATCAAACATCATTGTGAAACATAACTTGTTCTATTAAACGCTGATGATGCAAATAAAACAAGCAAGTGTGAATAAAAGAAGTATGATCTTCCGAAAATAAAAACACCTCAAAAGTATAGATCAAGTTA